TCACATGGCACCTTTAATATATACTGATATTCATATATTGTGTACATCAATATAAACAACATTGTTGGTAAAACTGATTGTTGCTCTCCACAATATCACTTGACAGCACAAAATAAAATGACCTGGCTAGGAAATCTATTTTTAACCTTGGTGACCTTGACCCATTTAACCTGATATTCATAGGAGGTACCAATAATGGAAATATCTAAAATATGGTTGCTCCCCTCCATGTCACTTTGACAACACTGAAAACATTACCTGGCTTGGACAAAAAGTAAGAAAATATTTTTTTAGTATGAGTGACCTAGCCCCAATTTACCTTATGTTCATATGAGGTATCAACACTACAAATATCTAAGAAATCAGCCAATTCATGAATAATTTTCTTAATGAATATAAACCCCTTGAATTCTTTTTTATCTATTTATTTTTTTTCACAACAAAAGCTTTCGACTTAGCAAAAATTTAAAGACCTCAAACAGAACATACTATTTAAGTCATGTTATTCTCAGAGTGGAAAAACTTTCTAATCTTTGCAAAAAGTCGGGTAATGTTTATTAGGTCATATACATATAATCTTTTAGCTGATTTATATAATCTTCCGTAAATACCAAATACCATGTAGGTAATTATGAAATTTAGTACTTATACACCGAATCAATTTCATGTATAAAGCACAATCCACGTCAAAAGGATAATTGTACTCTTCATGTTGACAATATATGAAAAAGAACACGTTTGTCATTGTCAGGCCTTTATCAGTATTGACTCCTCGACAATGAACCGCAAACTGTCTAATCACAAAAGGGATATAAGTAAGTTATAGAAACAGAAAAGTAATGAATAGCAAAATAACTGACAGGTTTGTCAATATCAAAAAAATAATGTTTATTTGATGTACGTCAGAGTTCAAAATTTAAGACATTGATACTCTCTGTGCCAATTGAATGCTTGTATCAGATCCTTTTTCTTTGTGGTTTTATTTGAAACACTTTTTAATACAATTATTATAAATTACAATAAGGCTGGAAAAAAATTCTGTTTCTGGTCCTCGTACTACAGAAAGATGGAAGGAAGGTAAAACTTTATACAATTTTCTATTTATATTATACACAGAAAAGATTTTTCAGAAAGGGAAAAGGTGATTAATAAGACTACAGTCAGCACTTAATTATTTGCGAAAACAAGCGGATGTTTTCTATAAGACTATTTCTGTGAATACTAACATGATTATTATTGTGACCATTTTGTTAAAATAGAGAAAAACAGAATCCCTGAAAAAAAATTTCAAAACCACAAAATTGAAAATGTTGTAGGCTTGGTTTTATTAAGCCTGTACAATGAAGACGGTACTGGAAAGTGCAAGTTACCGTACATGCCCCCTAGCACCGACTTAAACAGAATTAAACATTTAAACATATGGAAATGGTGAAATTTCGAATTTTGAAACATCTGAAGATGTGTACACTTAGTGACAGTATGGTGATTTTAGCTGGTAAAAGAAACACTCTGACCAGTTCATGTCACACAATAAATTCAGCTGGCTCGCGAGACTTTCCCAACCATGCATTTTGACAAGACTCATTCCTATTTTGTATTTGTATTTAAATATTAAAAGCCTAACAGTGAGGACAATTACAAATTTCCAAAGCGCAGATATGTACAAATGAATGCACAAATTCAGCATATAAAAGCTTTACCACTGAAATGAATGGAATATACCTTGCACAAAAGACAAGAACCATAACTTCCGTCAAAATTTATCTTTAAAGAATGCGATTGTATTTAAATTTTTGCACCCAATTTGTACTCTCATGCACCCTTTTTATCAAATCATTCAATCTAACCAAATAAATACTTTCATTTCTTAATATATATGAATATGTAATTACAAATATGCCAATTGAGGGATTCAAATCCAAATTTAATATAATAACAGGACAAGTAATATTCTAGCACCAAGCAGTCGGTATAATTATGTCATTATGTAAATCTCAAATTGTGCCAATGAAGAAAATCATTATTGATAAAGAGGTATTATTAGACACCAAGAAAAAACCTATCAAACATTAATCAAGATCTAGCTTCTCGTCAATTGAGACCTTGTGGAATCAAATTTCCATACCAATCACATGTCAGGTTTCTAATTTGGAGCGTTTCCTATTAAGATATAATCATAAATTCATAACAAGGTCTTCCATAAATTATTTAATCTTATCTCATAAAACGATCTAAGATATATATACAAAGAGCTTTATCCGTCAAAAATCGTGAAAGATTTTATTTTCCAATAAAATGTCAATTAACATGTTGTTTCTTTATAAAGTATTTAAAGGGAGATTCCATAGTTTATATTCCAAGGTTGCTTTTTTTACAGCATTTTAAATTCACATGTCTATTTAGCTAAATCTAAACAGTTTATGGATATATGAATAAATTCTAAACAAAAATTATAATACATGTATAATAAAGGGGAAAAACTTTAAAAAAACCAAAAAAAAACTTTGTTCTTCAACATAAATATGTATAACATTTAACATGAGATAACAAGATTTGTCTGTGAAACAACCTACTTGACTATTCAAATTTGGAAATCAAAGGGAAAAGTCTACAAAAAGGCATAATCATGATAATCTACAACAGAGTTATCTACTCTTGCCTAGAAGCGAAAATGTTAATTAATTCAGTTCCATAATTCCAGGCACAACTGGGTTCTATAAAAATGCATTTGGAAGAAAATCATAACTGATAATTGGGTGCCTGACATGGACGTAGATGCCAATGCAGAGGGAAGTAGAACAGCTGACTCCCTATTATATACTTGTATATTATAAGTCAAGCAATAAAGATCATCAGGCCTACTTTTTTTCTAAAAGGGAACAATTTCTTCAAGTCCACTGAAACAATCAAATAGCAGAACACCAAACATGCAAACTATGGAAGACAAAGACTTAGGTATTTCCATAATTATGATTGTACAATTAAACAGACATTTCAGTTTGTTTTACACATTACAAAATTAATGTCGATAAAAAAAACCCACGATCAAACATTCAAAATTATTTGTTAAAATCACTCCTTTGGTTAACATTACCTATTCAATTACTAGAACTCCGCGAGTCGGATGTGTCGCCTTGTGAACAATGTAGTTTAGGGGAAATGGCCAGAACAAAAATGAAACATAAAAAATAACAAAGGGTAATAACTAAAAAAATAATAAGTGCAGAGCAGCAGTTTCTGTACACTGCACTTCTTATCAATAACATCTATCATTCTATGATGTTTCAAGTCCACAGCTTTCATACTTGAGGAGAAATGACCAGGACAAAAATAAAGTAAGAAAATCAACAAAGGGCAATAACTCAAAAATAAGAAATGCAGAGTATCAGTTCTTATGCACTGCACTTCTTTTTAATGATATCTATCATCCTATGAAGTTTCAAGTCCATAACTTTTATACTTTCGGAGAAATGGCCTGGACAAAAATTAAGTATGAAAATTAACAAAGGGCAATAACTCAAAAATTAAGAAATGCAGAGTACCGATTCTTGTGCACTGCACTTCTAAATACTGAGATCTATCATCCTATGAAGTTTCGCGTCCATAGCTTTTATACTTAAGGAGAAATGGCCCAGACAAAATTAAAGTATGAAAATAAACAAAGGGCAATAACTCAAAAAATAAGAAATGCAGAGTACCAGTTCTTGTGCACTGCACTTCTTCTTAATGAGACCTATCATCCTATGAAGTTTGAAGTCCATGGCTTTTATACATTAGGAGAAATGGCCCGGACAAAAATAAAGTATGAAAATTAACAAAGGGCAATAACTCAAAAATTAGGAAGTGCAGAGTACTGGTTCTTGTGCACTGCATTTCTTCTTAATGAGATCTATCATCCTATGAAGTTTCAAGTCCATAGCTTTTTTAGTTGAAGAGAAATGGCCCGGACAAAATTAATATATGAAAATTAACAAAGGGCATTAACTCAAAAAATAAGAACTGCAGAGTACCGGTCCTTGTGCACTGCACTTCGGGTTATTGAAAGAAGCAAGCATACCAAGTTTGAAGTCAATCAGACTTATAGTGACTGAGTTATGCTCCGGACAAGCTTTAGGGGACGCCGACAACGACGCCGACACAGACGCCGACACAGACGCCGCCGACACCGCCGACGAAAGTAACCCCTATATGTCACCTTTTCAAGGCGACACAATAAAAGTATCCATGCTGGTTTTAAAGTTAAGTTTAAACTTCAACAAAAGTTAGACAGTAAATATCATTTCAAAGATTCAAACTTTGCAACATGCTGTAAAACTGTGCATTCAGAATTTATTTCAGGAAAATCAAAATAACCCTTTGGTGAGCTAGGAAGCAAAGAGTTCTGTACAGTGAAACTAAATGGATAAAGGTATGTCCTGGCTAAATACATATACATGTATAATAAATTTGTGTGTATTTGGGTAACAAAAATGAATCTATAAATTGGGTTCACACCTACTTTAGTCCAATTATACCTAATATTTTTTTACCCAATATTGTTCAAAATCTTCAATGAAATTAGCATTACAATCCAGGGGTTTATTCTTAGACTAAAATCTATAACAGAGTAAATTCTATACAAGAACATCTTATGAACATGACTTTACAAGGTAATTAATATACTAGTATCTCATAAAAATATTGACACATTTTCCCATGGGATAGATTAATTGAATAATTGATTGGTACACATATAATGTATATGTTACAGACATAGTGCTGAGCTTATAAGGACATTTATATTGGCAAAAGAATATAAAAAGATGTTGAATGATGTCCAGTAACTGGGACAGTCCGCAATACTGAGATGACATAAATTAAAACCTATATTTTGACAATTTCAAACAGTTCTTTTCCAATTAACTACACTGCCCATGAATGTAAAATAAATTTTGATTGCACAGTTTCAGAGAAATTAAGAAAGCTCAAATTTGTTCTATAAATAACTATGTTAAACCCACATGAGGTATTAGAGTCATACAGCCCATGAAATCCACTGTATTTACCGTTCAAACCCGGCAACTTTTTCGGTTCCCCTGTAGTAAAATTGAAAATCTTTGTTATACGGAAAAATTCTTATTCTTTTTGTTCATGATTTTTTTTTACAGATACAATATCTGTTTTTATATAACAATGTTCTACAAGTATAACACCACAGGCGCTGAAAGTTAAAGGGAGACAATAAGTTAGGTGTAGGCACTGAAATTTAAAGGGAGACAATATTAAGTTAAATTAGCTTTAGATAACAAAGACGATGGGACTAAATACTGGGGATACTGACCTAAAAATGATAAGGTACAGATCAAAGAGCACAATTGAATCTTTTCACTACATCACACAAAATTTACTAAAAATTATAAAAAATGACTACAAGTTCTTCAGAGTAATTAATTGATAGTAATTATCTCCCTTGGATTTGTAAAATGAGAAGAACTGCAACGCTGGCTTGACTTAATTATTTGATCGTAAGCAATTAGCAACTTTTGCATGTTTCCAATTTTGAAATGGTTTGATGATATTTTACTAATGCTTGACTGTCAAGTTTTAAGTAAACAGACAAGCTCTCGTCAATTTATCCCATTGTAGACGATGATTACCAACCTGTTTTATTGTCAATATGAATCAATACAAGAATTATTAGCTTGTATGGCAATTATAGATGAAGAAATTTGCCTTGATCCTTCCTTATAATGTTTGTCAATTTATTTTACATGTAATTTCAGCGAAAAATCTGGATTTGAAAACTGATTTTAAAATTCCCTTTCTTCACATAAGGAATAGGAGTGACATAATTGATCGTAAAGATACAATAATAATTCAAAGGTTGACCGCAAAACTGCAGTAACTTAAATGAAATAAAGAAGGCGGACGTACAACAGTCTTGCATTCAACCCTTGATATACTTTTTTCTTTGTAAAATATCATATTTTAGATTTAGACCATGTAATACACGTATGCAGGCAGACAACAACCCTCTTGAGTTCTTCTGTGGAAAGAATGAGCAAGACCGCGGATAAATAAAGCATTCTATAATGAAAGGAATAACTTCAGTAAATGTCCTTTTTTACTGACATTTATATTATTATAATCTTCAACATTAGTCTTACACTATAATAGAAAACAAAATTAAATAGGAAACATAAATTCATATAAAAGAAACTCTGCTTAGTACAAAAAATAACAATAACATCAGTCGAATGAGCTGTTGCTAGTACGGTTTCAGGTTTACATAAAGTCACTGAATAGTTTGTTAAATCTGAATATTCATTGATTGTTAGCTAGAGAACAACAAAATATGATATGGTGCTGTCATTGTTAATATTTCAAAAGACAATTATATATGGTCTTCCTTTGAATGTCAAAGATCTTGAAATCTTTTCAGTCTTTTCTAAAAATTCACTTTAAAGTGGCTTTGAACTTAGGAATTCAAAGACACTTCTTTGATCTAAATTGACCTATTCTGTCAAACATATATTGATTTTTTTCCCAGTAAAATTTCAAGATCTGAAACTCTGAAGTTGTGAATCTAAAGAAGAGAAAGTTTTTCCTGTGCAGGAGTTCCTGTTTGTCCAATTAAAGCAGCTTTCTCATGTATATTTTAAAATCATAATAAAGTTTTATGACTGTGTCAAAATAAATTCAATTTAATTGCATTAAATATTAATTAAATATTTGCTAATTCAATTACTTTAAAACTTCTGAATGTCACTTTTACTTATGTTTTAACAAAATCCAAGAAGCTATGAAATTAACATAAAATTCAATCAACTATGTCCCTACAGAAATTTAAATGAAATTAAATGAAGGAATACAATAAATTTACAGACCAATATGACAATATAAGCCTTTCCTTAAGTCACTATGGGAAGTAACTCATACCTTATCAATTTCAAAACAGTCTTCCAATATTACTAGTTCATTACAAAAGTATACCTTGAACATTCAAAGCCAACAAATATGCCTTCTTCCTCTTAGCATTAGTTAATGGTTAAATAATTTTGATAAAACATGGATATAAAAATTCATTATAATGAATTATAATTACAAATTAAAGGGCTGCGACTCTGGATATTTTACATATTTATTTATTTGGGGATATTTTAGTCTCAAAATCTATACTCAAAATAAATAGGAGAATAAAGGTCAATTGAAAAAAAAAAAACAATTGTTTTTCAATCTGTCATTTTAGACTGATGCTGTGAACCAACAAAATTCTTCATCAGGATGTACATATATTCTAAGAACAAATTTGATATGATTCAAATGAGACAACATTATAAACAGGAATTTTACAACAACAAAAAATGGTGATTTATTAACAAAACAGAATATGTATTATTATTGACCACATTTAATGTTTAACTGCTAAGCAAAACTCAAAAAAACATAAAGCAAAATACATGAGAAAGCTGCTTTAATAGTTATATATAAAGTGCTGGAAATCAAATTCATACTATACTAGATTTACCTCCTGCTGAAACGAAACAAAAGCAAGCATTAGATCAGGTCTATTTACAGGTGATTCTAGAAGAAAGAGGAATGTGTCACAACAATCCGCAATTTATATATATCAAAGACTCAATATGATAATATTGTATACTACTTCATGAACTAAAGGCACCTACATCCATCTTAAGTTTATGAAAAATTTGGCAAAATTCGTAACATCCTATGTCTTGAAAAACCAAATAAGTGATGGCATGTCCATGAGCAATGTCAAAAGCTATCAAGATAGACATCAAATTTGACTATTCTTAATGTTTGATAGTAAAACATGAGTCATGCTGGAATTATCAACTTCAACAAAGGGCCATTATTCAGTAAATGTGCAGACTAGAGTTATGGGTCTTGGTGAATGACCTTCATTACATTTGTCCTGAGGTATGTGCATTGTTTCCAATACAAGTTCCTTCAATGCTTGCAAGATACATGAAGACGTAATATAACCCACACATAACTTTATCCATTCCAATAAAATCCATGCAAGAGTTATGGACCTTGTCATACAATTAAAATCCTAGGTGATTCTTCAGTGGTTTATTACACATTAATTTTCATGCATATCAAGTGTTATGCTAACACTGGTATTCTTTGAATAGTCATGGAGAAAATGCTATTAATTGAACACTTTCTTTATACATAGGAGACATGGAAAGTTATAAAGTTGGCCAAATATTTATACAAACATTGGATGAATGGTAAACCTTTAGTTTTACATTGATTTATGACAGTATGGTGATGTGGTGGTATAAATATTCAAATGTGTACCAAAATAAAAAAAAATTAATATTTGGATACACTCTTTTTTGCTAATTTGAAAAATATACTAAGGACAATACTAGTGTAATGGTTTGTGTATTGCATACCATATAACATACAATTATATACATACATTTTAATTGACAGAAGTTTTAATTTAATTTAAAAACATTTCTGAATTTCTGAATAAGGTTATTACCACTACCTAAAATTCATGAAAATTTCAATAGCCAAAAATGTTAGAAGAATAAACAATAATTTCATTTTGTTGATTTCATTGTGTGAATTTTAAAATTACAAAATTTGCATAAAAGTTACACAAAAAACCCATGAGAAATTATCTATTGTTTTTAGAGTGACAAATCTACAGAATTCTTAGAAGTATTAATTGTTACATAAATCAATGTCTCTTTGGAAAGAAATACTTCCACTTGTGAAACTATTTATCCTTAAATGATTAATATGAATCAATTTCTATCACAGATGCATGATAATTAATCCAATTTGATCACAGACATATGATTTTAAATCTAATTTGATCACAGTTGTATATTAATCAATATATTTTGATCACAGAGGTATGGTATTCTAATTTAATCACAGATGTATGTATGGTATTCTAATTTAATCACAGATGTATGGTAATTTAATTTAATCACAGATGTATGGTATTCTAATTTAATCACAGGTAAATGGTATTCTAATTTAATCACAGATGTATGGTATTCTAATTTAATTACAGATGTATGGTATTCTAATTTAATCACAGATGTATGGTATTCTAATTTAATCACAGATGTTTGGTAATCTAATTCAATCACAGATGTATGGTAATCTAATTTAATCACAGATGTATGGTATTCAATTTAATCACAGACAGACCTGGGGTAATCACTAATCGTAATCATTGATTTTTTAATTAATTACATGATTACACTGTAATCATCATGTAATTGATTACCTTGCTCAAAATTGATTACATTAATTGTAATTAATCAATTACAGCTTAAATTCAGTCTGTAATTATGATTACAATTTGATTGATGTTGATTACTTTCAGATTTTATATGAAACTATTGAAATTCAAATGATTTATTTCACATGTTACAGTTTAACTCAGTAGTAAAATATCAAGTGAGACATCACTTGTGCAGAGATGATTAAATTTCTTTGATGAACCATTTTATGTGATCAAAAAGTGTTCATGTTGCAGTGTGATATTCAAAATAATTATCAATATTTTAACTTTGAAAAATTATTCCTGTTTACTTAACTGATCACAGTAGCATAACCTCGTCCATTAATCTCTTACAGTCGCCTATCATTTATCAATATTTAAAACATACAACCTTTTTATTGCACCTGAGGTAAATCATGCAACTGGCTATTAGACGCAATTATTTAATACTTAAGTGAAACAGGCTGTAATTATTTTGACTAACCACTAATTACCTATTTATTTCGTATTGGCTTTTCAAAAAAAAAGAATAACAAACATAATGTGGCGCGTGTATGTTTTTATTACGTCTTGATCGGCAGCAAATAATCTTTATGTCAATTTTCCTTTTAACTTCTTGTTACGTGTTTCTGACGTGTTTTCATTCACAGGTGACATCCATTGATGACATGGTATTTGGCAAACTTGATAATCATTCTATATTTGCGCTGATCTGCCATTTTACAACTATCTACGTCTGTGTATTGGGATGGTTAATAACAATTATCTGTACAGGCAAGAAGAATGCATTTTATAGCGCGTATAGCTAGGTAACGTCAACGGCAGCTTAAAGAATGACCTCCCTGAATTTCGTCTGACACATTAATGACAAAGCTTTGTTGACATAAAGTAGCCTCCGACCAGTAAGAAATGCAGGGGGATTACTCGAAAACCTAGGATACAGTATTGATCAATGATATATCAAGAAATTTTTATCGCCCTATTCAAATAATGCAATAAAATGGCCGACTTTGCGGTGTTAAAATCATTATTACTGTTCAAAATGAGAGATTATCGCAACAAAAGGATCAGTTATGGAGATAGGAGATGTTCAATAAAGTTTTGTTATCTGCTGGGCTGCTTAATTAGAAATATTCAGTTGTACTTTTCACGCATAACATCTACATTTTTTTCTTGAACCACTGCGCTCAGATTCATCATTTTGTAAGGCGTAAGTATTCTATGTGTTTATCCTGTTTTATGACTGCCAAAATAAAGTCGCCTTTAAATCTAGAAACTTGAAAAAAATTAATTTAATACTTAAAGAAAGATGTGAGAATCTTTCTGGCCAACATGACATTATACATGTCTTTGCCTTTCAGATAAGCATGCCATTTTAATTTCTTTTTTTAATTTAAATACATGCCAGTCACCTGCCTTGCTTTTAATTAAATTCTGAACTGTTCATTAACACTTATACAGACTGTAGTAAAGAGTACTTACATGCTAGCTAGCATGACACTTTACTTTCAGACTGCATGTTAAGTTGTTTCTTGAAAGCACTATTTTTTTGTTCATACGCTCTGAAGGGTAGCATATAGATTATGAATTGTCCATCCGTCTATCTGCTCTTTTTGTTCAGTCCATTACTTTGTTGTTTATGGATTTTGAAATGATTTTGCATAGATACATGTATATAGCACATTACGATGATGTGTTGCATGCAAGACCCAGTTTTTAAGGTCAAAGGTTATGGTCCCGTCAATTTTAATAACTGTATTGATGGTGGGGTCAAAATTTTTGTCGTTTTCGGATAGTTTATAAAATACTTATGCATAAATGCATGGACATGATGAAAATATGTCAAAAAAAAGAACTAGGTTTATATGTGATACTGTCAGTCCTTGTTTTTATATATCTTCATAAAAATAAAATATCTGTGAAATATCTTAAATGACAGCCAGATTTTATCCAAATGATTTAAAAAATAAGAAAAATTTCAGTTACCTAGTGTTTTATTCTTTCCAATTGAATGCGTCAAATGATAACTTATAAATTGCATTACATTTCCATTTATAAAGATTTTTCAGTACGAAAGGCTTACAGCCTATTTAGAAACATATCAAAACTGCTTCAATTCTCAAGGACCTTTACTAGATAAGAATTACATAACATTATACTTTTATAACCCAGTATAGAAGAACTGTATTTACTCTACGATTCAGAAATTACATTGAAGAATTTAAAGTGATATTAACAATTTCCTTACAAACTGTATTGAGTGCAACATGGAAAGATTATAATTCTAGGTTCTTAAAGTGTCACCTTTATTTTGATTGACGAGGAAAATATCAAAGACTTGATTTCCATTAATTGCTTTCTTCTGTACAAACAATTTCATTATTAAATGAGTGTCGCAATTTATCGTTAGTTTATATAACTTAGCCAATTTCAAAGTAAATTTTTCATTTTTGTTTGGGTAATTTTTTTCAGACAGCATTTTATTTAGACATTAATGGCATGCCCTGCCAATAAATTTGGAAATATACAAATCTATTAAGAGTTTTCTCGGGAAGATAAATATACATGTAATGTTGACAGGGCAAAGTAAAACTGCTTATCTTTTAGCATTTTAATCATGACATCCCTATATTTGACAATGGACCATTCTGAATGCATTAAAAGTCAAGTTCATTTTCACTTATAAAGCAGAGTAATTGACATAATCAAATATCTTTAATTGACAATAAACAGTAGGTCAAGTTCATTAACCCAAATAGAGCAGGGTAAACAGCATTTTAACGATAAATTGCTTATAATGGACAATGGACAGTTCTGAATTCATTGCAGGTCAAGTCCATTTGCCCAAATATAGCAGGGAAACCCATAAATTACTTAATTTTAGTAGTTTAATAAAGAAACCCCTGTATTAGAAAATGGACATTTATGAATTCACAGCAGAACAAGTTGACAAAGTTTAACCTGGTGGCTGGAGCAATCAAGCAATGTGACCAGTGCATGACCAAAATTCATGCAGTATGACCAAGATCTGCTACTCAGTCAGGACTTATTTTGAAATTCTACCTGTAATTGATGAATGGTTTTGTCCAGATTGAATGATGGACAAGTCCATTCTATGATATTTTGGGTGGCATTGGGTTATAGAAAATAAAACAGGGTAATAATTAAATCATATTGAATGGCATCATGACAAATCTGCACTATTATACAAAGACTGGATTAAACATGGCAGTTGACTATAATAAAAGATCAAACCAGGTTAAACAGCTTAATTTAGTAATCTAAAAATATTTTTAACTTTTATCACTTTCATTGTTATTAAATTTAGACCAGACTTTTATTTTAACAAAGTTAAATATACATTTTATTTGATAGTTGAATAAATTATGATGATAATGCACCGTGATGAGATGTTGTAACCTTAAGCTTGTAAATTTTTTTAAGAATTAAAATTAATATTCTATTTAAGGCTATAATTTTTAACTGTTCTAAGTTTATCATTGCACTTAATTGATAATCTAGTTTAATATGTTATATTATTATTTGATTAAACAATTATATACTCACATTTACAATTTACATATTGTATTGTTTTTTTATGTTTAGTCATTATTATTTTGACATATTGCAAATTAATGTATTACATGCATATACATGTGCATGTAAGATAACTGTGTGTTTTAGTATTGTATTTCATAATAAAGAACAAAATTTACAGATTAAATTTTGGCATCCATCAAAATAATTGTTTCATAAAGCTGAATACTGAAAAAGTAAATCCTGATTGAATGTTTACTCTATCTAGTTGGTTGATAAGACTTAGTTATAAAAGTATGTTACTGCATTCTTTTAACAATTTTTTTGTTTGCTTTGTTTTCTATAATTATTCGGGACGACCCACTCACCTAAAGACCAAGGCTCCAAATCCGCTTTTCCATATTTTATTGATTTATATCCCTCAAATCCTGCGCAAACATACGCATGGCCGTCTTGTAGGTCTTCAATATCACAAACGCGTCGTCCACTGGCCGGCGTAAAAATCTGACGCACTCCATATGGCAAGTTGGACCCAGACGGTAGCTTTCCGGTGAGGTCATTTAGCAGATCATTAAAATTGTAGTACCGATGTGGAGTTATGTATAACTTCTTTCCTTTAAAGAAGCGATTTCCATTTACATAAAAACGCACTTTTCTAGGTCTGCGAAGGTCACGGTATCTTTCGTCAGTGACATCTCGATGGGCCTGAGATACCGAGTTAAAGTTAATGGCCCGTCTTGCCATTGTCTCAGTCATTGATACTGTTATATGTAATCACGTTCACTGTAGAAAATATTCCTCTGTCACGTCCTCCTTTTTATGACGCCATATTTATGCTGTTATTTCAACATCCTGAAAATGTAACAAGATATGTTTGTAAAACATGTATGCCCCCTATCAGCAGCCAATTAGTCATGTGATAAGGTTATTATGACTTCTGACCCAGTGATCAAACAATTAATAAGGGTTATCAAGTATCTACTGGTCATGACCTTGACCTTTGACCCCTTGACCCAAAACTCAATAGGGGTCATCTGCTGGTCACGACCAATCATCATACAAAGTTTGAAGTTCCTAGGCCTAAGCGTTTTTAGTTAATTGATCGGAAACCGTTTTAACATACAAGGTCAATGTGACCTAGACCTTTGACCCCTTGACCCCAAAATCAATAGGTCATCTGCTGGTCATGACCAATCACCATACCATGTTTGAAGTTCCTAGGCCAAAGGGTTCTTAAGTTATTGATTTGAAAGCATTTTTACCTACAAGGTCAAAGTGACCTTGCCCTTTGACCCCTTAACCCCAATATCAATAGGGGTCATCTACTGGTCATGACCAATCACCATACCAAGTTTGAAGTTCCTAGGCCTAAGGGTTCTTTAGTTATTGATCGGAAACCGTTTTTACCTAAGAGGTCAATGTGACCTTGACCTTTGACCCCTTGACCCCAAAATCAATAGGGGTCATCTACTGATCATGACCAATCACCATATCAAGTTTGAAGTCCCTAGGCCTAAGGGTTCTTTCGTTATTGATCGGAAACCGTTTTTACCTACAAAGTCAATTTGACCTTGACCTTTGACCCCTTGACCCCAAAATCAATAGGGGTCATCTGCTGGTCATGACCAATCACCATACCAAGTTTGAAGTTCCTAGGCCTAAGGGTTCTTTCGTTATTGATCGGAAATCGTTTTTACCTACAAGGTCAATGTGACCTTGACCTTTGACCCCTTAACCCCAAAATCAATAGGGGTCATCTGCTGGTCATGACCAATCACCATACCAAGTTTAAAGTTCCTAGGCCTAAGGGTTCTTTTGTTATTGATCAGAAACCGTTTTTACCCAAGAGGTCAATGTGACCTTGACCTTTGACCCCTTGACCCCAAAATCAATAGGGGTCATCTACTGATCATGACCAATCACCATACCAAGTTTGAAGTTCCTAGGCCTTAAAGTTCTTTAGTTATTGATCGGAAACCGTTATTGCTTACAAGGTCAATGTGACCTTGACCTTTGACCCCTTGACCCCAAAATCAATAGGGGTCATCTACTGATCATGACCAATCACCATACCAAGTTTTAAGTTCCTAGGCCTTAAAGTTCTTTAGTTATTGATCGGAAACCATTTTTGCTTACAAGGTCAATGTGACCTTGACCTTTGACCCCTTGACCCCAAAATCAATAGGGATCATCTATTGATCATGACCAATCACCATATCAAGTTTGAAGTTCCTAGGCCTTAAGGTTCTTTAGTTATTGATCGGAAACCGTTTTTGCTTACAAGGTCAATGTGACCTTGACCTTTGACCCCTTGTCCCCAAAATCAATAGGGATCATCTACTGATCATGACCAATCACCATATCAAGTTTGAAGTTCCTAGGCCTAAAGGTTCTTTAGTTATTGATCGGAAACCGTTTTTGCTTACAAGGTCAATGTGACCTTGACCTTTGACCCCTTGACCCCAAAATCAATAGGGGTCATCTACTGGTCATGACCAATCACCATACCAAGTTTGAAGTTCCTAGGCCTAAGGGTTCTTTAGTTATCACTCGGAAACCATTTGGTCTACGGACCGACGGACCAACGGACCGACGGACCGACAAGTGCAAAGCAATATACCCCCTTTTCTTCGAAATGGGGGCATAATAATAATAAAAACATTGAATTTACATACATCTCCTTAATCTTATATTATGTTGGTGCCAGTCAAATTCGCCAATTAAAGATTTTATGCGACAGAATCAATATATTGTCGCATTTGGCGCCATTGGCGAGCGCCAGCGGGAACCCTGGTTATCAGCTATACTTCTCAGAGAGGAGCCTCTGTAGTGCAATTATATGTACCATATGTATATATGGCAGCTGAATCAAATCTGTCCAACCTAAGCTTTTACAATGAATTTAACCTGTCCAGAACAACACCTCTCAGAAACAATCACAATATTTACCTCTCAAAAAAGTGTTGCTCTGTAGAGGTTGCACTGTACATTGAAAGGAAAAAAGTTGAAATTCAATTGTTACTTAAATGCTTGTAAAAAGTGTACATCTGATCCTATTTAAATGTATTTGAAAGTTAATGCTGTTATAATGTAGATGCAAAATGGTACCCTTCGGTGTATTATCTGGTCAGGTCAAGTAATGGGAACTTGGGACCTGGGTGGGGCCTGGTTTTATGCCTGACTCAGGTGCATGATTTGTAAGATAATAAAAGGAATTTTGGTTCTTAAAAATTTATTCTTACATTGCTCTTCTCTATATTTTAAGTGCTTCCAAATTGGTAGGCATTCATGCCATTTTAATCTGATTTTTTAAAAATATATATATATACACTTTGGTAACATTTAACAATCTGCTAGATTTTTTTTCCTTTTCAACTGGGCAATATTTCATTTCTGCTAGCAGAAAAATATCTGCATGGGAGATCCACCAGTGTTATTAAATGTAACGCTCAAGGTCTACCAGAGATATTAAGTTCTGCATCTAAAGCAGTTGTCTTTGAATCCTTTAATGTTACTCAACACTTTAATATACTTAATTGGGCTTTCTTTACTCAACAGTTACTTGTATACATGGCTTTCTTACTCAACAGTTATATTACAATTTAGGCTTTTGTTACTCAACAGCTATCCTTGGCCTTAACATACTATTTTTTTTGAAAATATGAATTAAGATCCTTGTAGATTCCTTTTATATTTTGCATAGCCAGATCAGGCTTTTGAATACTTCATGTAAAATTATCAATTAAGTGTTTAATATTTATATCTGTTTCTTTTGGACTTTCTTTACTAAAACACTTATCAATGCCTTGGACAAATAATAAACCCCAAGTCCTAAAACCTAAATCCTGTCTCACACAAAGTATCTAAACCCTTGGCCTCGAAAATACGAACCTTGTCTCATAATAATAACACTGCTTTAGTCAAATAAAATCTCCTTTTTTTAATATTTAATTTCTGTGTAAACAGTGAACACAGTAATAATGAATAAATTACCAACTTATCAAAAGAAATGAAAATACGTTAGAAGCATATTTGTCTTGAATAGTAAAATAATGATAACCCACGACCTGCCATAAAAAATAATAAAAAGTGAAATATAAAAAACTCATAAACATTAACAGGCTATTAGGATCATAAATTTGATCAAATAATCTACCTTGAATAGACAAATTATTCCATGGTGTATGTAAATACAAAAATCTATAAACTTGAAAACTTTCACTATTTTTCTTCACTCTTTCTATCGCACTCTTCAAATTCTTATTTCTTTTTAAGTCACATTTTCATTATTAAAGAATCATAAGTATAACAATTAAAATCCAATCTTTTTGTTAATTTCAATTTTAATCAAATATACACCAATAGAAACAAGGTAATAATTTCCTCGACGATCTATTGTTTAAATGGCCGTAAACATTTTCTCTTTAAAGAGCGTCAAGCTTATTGTACGAATTTGTAAGTATGTTATAAATTAAGGTCAATCGGCACTTACCAATCTACGTACGTATTAAAATCAATAATTTGAATATAAGTATTCCATGATCAATTTACACAAATAAGATTATCTCGCGAAAAAATATAATGGAACACTAAACCTGATATAAGTATTGTAAATGTTAGACCGTAAGATCGAGTGAAGCGTTATTCTGACAGTTAACGCATGACAGTAAATATCCAAGGACTGTAATAAATTATATGCAAATGACACATTGGTAATTTAATTCATTAACACCAAAGATTCGGTCATAGAAGAATTTTACACATTTTCTTTAGACACCTTGAAGCTTCACTGCAAATTAAAATTTGTATCACTTTATCTTTATTATATTTACATGTACCTCTATTATGTTTTGTTTTCAGATGTTTTGGCCATGTCAGTAACACTGATTATTCTTCTAATGACAGTCACCTTATTCTCCACTTTCCAAGTACAAAAGTGGTGTTATTACAATGTATATTATCTACCCATTTTTGGACAGTATAACTTTTTGTTAAGGTCCATTTCCCAGAAACTTTTAAAGCTTAATTCACTTCATACATAAAAGTACATACATTCAACACCATGCCAAAAGGGCAGAATGATCCTAAGACTCATTTTGGCAGAGTTATGCCCCTTTGTTGACTTATAATTCTTTTTTGCTTTTTTTAGGCCTATTTTTCAAAAACTATCAAAGGTATTCACTTTAATCTAAGAATACTCGTTCACTTAAGAAACTGGATAAAGGGCAGATAACCCTGAAAGTTGTGTCTGTTTCAATATTTCCTTTTTTTTACTTAGAATATTTTCTTTTCTTCAAAAGAAACAAACAAAAAAAAATCATAAATATTAATATTTTTTAAACTTGAAATAATTGTGCATTATAAAAGGGCAGGCAAGTCTGATAAACTATTGCATAGTTATGCCCCCTTTTCTACTTTGCTTTATTTAAACTATCTATAGTACTGAGAAAGACATCTTTTAATATTTCTTACAAGTGTTGCAATTTTTTTCTGTGGATCTATGGCAGTGGTAAATGCAAACTTTTTTCTAATCAACAATTTAAGTTTTCATGTAGCATTAACTATGAAAAGAATAAGAGAAGAAAAAAAATGAATTTGTGACAATATTCTGCTAAATTTCTTAAATAGACTTGTGTTGTTTCCATATTTGGAACTGTCTTATAATGACCATACCAGGTATGCAGTTAGGTTTGGCTTTATTCAGATGACATTCAGATGCCATAAGATCTAATTAACTTTCATCTCAACTATTCTACAGAGTTCAAAATACATATGTGTCTATCTTACATGTATCATAAGATGGTGAAGCTTAAATGCACTGAGTAATTCACTAAGATTTAACACTGTAGACTTTATTCAATTTTGATCTTACATGATAGTCAATGAGACCCATGGGTCAGAACTGAAGAGTATAGTATGTTGCCCAAACCAGACATTTTTACAAGAAGACTGATAGAAAAGAAATCATTTACATCAATTGAAGAAAGTCCAAAATCTGTCCCTTAGGACCAAGGTGCTCCACTTTTCCTATTGGGTTTGATTCAATGATCAATATTCTAGTTTGCTACCAATGACCTTGATATTTGACCTGAAGTTGTGGATGGCAGGTAGAAATATAAATTTGCATCCATATATAATAAGATTTTCGGAATGTTTAGGTCATCAACTCATCATTCTATTTTAACATACCATAATAACCCACTGTGTACTACAAAATGATAAATAAAAAAAACCCGAAGAGACGGAAAAGGTTATTTCATGCATTGCGAAATTCTCCAGTTCGCTATTCATTGTACATATCGAGACATTTTTTTTAATCAAGCACCCTCATACCGATCGGAATGATCGGCTTTTATTATGACCGACTATAAGGCTCGAGAAGTTGCTGTCGCCCTTTCACAAAATCTGATTTCATTCCATAAGGGCGCCGCGCTTCGGCGCGGACGCCAATAATAACATAAGCTTATAATATAAACTTTACCAAAACTGTTAATGTCACCAAATGACAATTACTATAGTGCTGCCTTTTCAACTTAGAATGCATCAGAGACTAAGGTAAGACTTTTCAACCACCCATAAAAAATTATAAGACAGGCATTCCACAGTCAGAGGAAAATGATATGCTCTTGTAAGAGTGCATCCCAGGGGGCTGATTATCTAAAGCCAATACAACAAGGAATGCATGTTAGATTTATGAGGATTATGCAAGTCTATGATTAATTTGATAATGAGTTGATATTTAAAGAAAGTATATACATAACCTTTAATACAGTCCCCCCTGAATGGGCTTTTATAATTTCCAATGCACAGTCATTAATTTTGTAAGACAGAACATCTGATTTGATACAATTTGACACTTGATCAATGCTAATATTTAATTGCAATAATAATATTTTGCAATAAAGTATGGATTGCAATATCTTTTCAAATTGATCTGTTATATAATAGAAATCCTTGAGACAAGCAACAAGCATTACTTGTTCATTTATAAAGCCTTAACCAATTCTAAATGAAATTCAAATAATTGATTTTAGGATTTAAGAACTGATAACTCCATTTCACTTCAATGTTGTAAGAAAGGATTTAACTTATCTCCATGCAGGGTTTTACTTTTCACATATTTATCAAAATATTATCAAAGTTATCGATCTTAAAGTACCTGTAAAGTCTGTGGATCATGTGTGTACCTCCTACATGTACATAATATTTTGACCTTTGACCCTTTTTTACCCTTATAAATGACAGTGGCAATAACAACTGACATGCCACCCAGGCCAGTCTGCATTATGCACATATTTGCAGCCTGAATTGATGCTATTAAAAAATGTTGGATTCTTAATTTCAGACTTTTTTATTTTTCAAATACCTCAAACTCACAATGGGCTGGACCAAATTCAAAGCTGGACAAGTCCATTATTTTCAAATTATAAAGGTTAAATGTTTACTAAAATATCAGCCAACAGAATTGGGCCTGGTCATTTGTGCAGGCTGGTCTCTTATAATACTTGTGGCAAAGGTGACCAGCACAACTTTATTATTTCAGCTAATTTCCTATTATCAACTTTGGGGACAACAAGATAAAAGGCCAACAGTAAGGAGTAGGGTTAGACTGCATGGATGTGCAGCCTGGCCTTGTTCCATATACTGGTGGCAAAGGCTTAATAATCACTTACCATACCAGCAGGATGATGGGTTAATGTTGGATTTAAATGAAGCCCCAATTTCTTATCAAGACTTTTATAAGGCCAAAAAAGATATGTTAGTTTCTTAGTTTCTAGCCTACACCAAATTAATCATATCGAATTTTAACATCTTTTTATTTTCATGACAAATAACTAAAGTTTAAAACATTAAAATAATTCAATAATAACCATTAAATCTTTTTCCGTTAAAAAAAAAACGCAAAAGCATTTTTGACATACTTACAGGAAAAATCTAGATCTAGAGACAAATCGAATTTTTAATCGCCTAATGAATGACATTATTTTATCAAAAGACAATGTTTACAATGTCAAATATTAAACAAAACCCTGACATATTTGCTAACAAATTGCAACCAGTACTTGTAGAGAACCAAGCAAAATAGGATTGTTTAATCCTTGCAAGTCTTGTTGATCATGTTTAACTTATGTACAATTCCTTTACAACTTTTGAGCAAATATTTACATATTAAGAAACTCTTTGAGATCCGAAAACAATTCAGACATTTTCAATGATATTTAAGTGGAAACCTTTTACAATTAAGTATAGTCATTCCTTACATATTCAATTTCTTATCAATTTCTATTAATGGGGTTAATTTTAATTAAACGCCAGTATTATTCTATTTAACAAACATAACAAAACAAATTTTGTAATTAGTCAGTAAAGTACATACTTCGAATTTCCTATACATTTAAAGCAGGTTAGATTAAAATCAATGTCAAATATTTCTTGAAAAATATGTGGGATCTAGAAATTTACCTTCTACACAATGGACAGCATTTTCCTTTGATTTTGTTTATTGTTCCAATTAATTGGTAATTAATAGGATAACTAAACTTAATTAAACATTAAATGTTGAATGGAAAAGAAGACGTGTGCACTGAGAACTGATTAAGTCTGATTCTGAGTTAACGTTTCTGCTCAAAATGAATTTTAACAAAAGTTGTTCAAGAAGCACGTTCAAGTTTTCTCAGTCACACATTTTCTAAATAAGCTAAAGGTTGACCTTGACCTTTAACCTTTTGATCCAAAAATGAGTATGGCAGGCAAAATCATCGAAGTGCACCCCCATCATCTTTTTTAACTAATAGTAGCTTTGTCAGTTTTGAAGTTTTCAATGCGCATGCATACATAAACAAAAATTAATCAAAAAGGTTATATGATTAAAACCCATGCGGCTCTGTAGGTCATGACATTTTCTCAACTGTTTCATAAAGAAAAGGAGCTAAAATTGTAAATCTACAATAGAAACTTATGAATAAAGAATACCAAGCAATTGCAAATATTAGCTAAGACTTATCAGACTCAGACTTGTAAGTCACATGACCAGTGCATTATAACCAAGACCGTTCTGTCTGATCTAGTCCAACTAATTAGACTTGTCAAAGAGACATCAAGATAATTTTGGATGGGCAATATATGTCTTTTTTCAACGGTTTGACAGTATGAAAAAAAAAAAGTCTGTAAAATGGGTCAAGCCATTCACGTCAAATTAATTAGGCTATGTCTGATTATGGTCTGCACTCACAGTTCACTATTCAGGCGGTTTATATTTTGAAATTTTCCCTAAAAATGATCAATGCCGAATGGTTTGATCCAGATTGAGAGAGTCCAATTATTTAGAGGGGAAAGGAGAATACGTAGTTTTTCTTTCCAATGTAAAACTTCCTTACACTGATCACTATAGGAAAGAAAATACAAATGTATTTTGT